GAATGGCTCATTGTGTACCTTCTATACCTTTGACACTAACTTTCCACAGCCTCTGGGTCCTCTCTCTATCTCTCTCTCTTCCTCTTTTGCTCTCTCTGTCAACACACACACACACACACACACACACACACACACACCTCATTGTAAGCTGTCTGTATATAAACCAATAAAGCCTTGATTTTTCCTTCTTAATTTGGCAACTGACATAGTCTTGAGTCCTGGGCAATATGAACTATCTGTATTTATTTATGTGGTCAAGGATGAGATTCATGAACTTACCAGGAATCAAACAATTCTAGACAGAACAGATAAAAAGAAAGTATATATTTTAGAAATAGGATTGCAAATAGGAAAGGAAGTGAAGACAGAAGTAGAGAAATAGCTCATTTCTGCTAGGTTAGCAATATGCCATCTGGTCCCTTGGATATGAGAGAAAGCTAATGGAAGTTAATATTAAGACATTGGGTCTTTTGTGAGGCCCACAACAGATACACACAAATGCATGTACACATACTACTTCTTTCTGTACCAGGAGCTGCAGAGACTTTGACTGTCCTGTCTTGGTGATTGTGAGTGCTCATCCTCTCAAGCTCCTTCTCCGTGAATAACTCAGAGATGGGCAGCAGTCCCCCTAGCTTCCTTCTTCCCTCCGCTCCCTTGCCCTACTTTTCTTGAAACAAGCATATACATGTTTTATGTTTTGAGACGTTCAGTGCTAATCATGACAGTAAAAGAGACATATAATAACAATAATAAACTAGAAGGAGTTACAAACCTTTTAGGATTTTATGTATGATCAAGCTCTCTTGCGTGCATTTTATAAGATGCTCTGAAATCCATCCATCCATGCAGCTAAATGATACTCTTGCATAACATTTTTATAAAGTAGATCTCAGTCCCAATAGAATCATTTTGACTTTCTCTATATATTTCCTTACTGTTGGGTTCTACAGTTTAATTAATGAATCAGTTCAACATTTAGAATTTTGGGTTTATTTTTTGTTTACTTGTATTTTAAATTCTAACGAGGCACTATACATTTCTGTACATGAAATAGACCAAAGAATGTAAAATCAGCCACTGTCTTCATGAAACATATCCTGTTTAGACAATGAGTCAAAGACAAATTTAATTATGTATGGCCTAAACTATTACCAACGCTTAATGTTGTCCAGCTAAGAGATAAGGACTGCTATAGCAAATTACCACTAACTTGGGCTGGATTGAAACAATGTAAATTTATTCTTTCACAAGTCTGGAAGCTAGAAATTTGAATCCAAGGTGTCATCAGAATGTATTTCTTCTTGGGGGCTCAAAGGGAGAATGCATCCCGTGCCTCTCCCCCAGCTTCTGATGGTTGCTGGCACTCCCTGGCATCCCTTGGCTTGTAGAGGCATCACTCCAATTTCTGTCTCCATATTCACATGGTATCCTCCTTTCTGTGTGTCTCTGTCTAAGGAGACACTTGTAAGTCTTCTTATAAGGACACTAATCACATTGGATTTAGGGTCCACTCTAATCCAGTATGATCTCATCTTAAATAGTTACATCTACAAATATCCTATTTCCAAATAATGTCATAATATGAAATTTTAGGTGGACATCAGTTTTCCAGGACATTATTCAACCCACAACAGAGAGTAAATATGGGTCCTGCTACTTACCTGAAAAGCAAGCTTAAACAAGATGTTATTATTGAATACTTTGTTCATCTATCTGTGTAGTATATATTTTACTTTTCTACACAATAGGGAGGCTTACATGGACTTTCAGGGTCCATCAGATCATGCAGTTAATGGCTACCTAATCACTATCCAGACCTTCATTTGAAAACCAGCGCACACTCAGAGTCATATAGCCAGTGCCTGTGAGTCTGGAAATAAAGTGTATTTTGTTTTGATTTTAACCTATGGACTTGTAACTTACCCAACTAGTCAGAACACTCCTAAAATAAACTTTATAATTAAATAGCTATTACTAAATATATTTGTAAAACTCCAAGTAAAGAACTAGGAGTTTAAAAATAAGGCATTACTGTTAAAAATGTTCTATCTGGTGCTTAAAAACTTAAGCATAAAGCATAAAGGCATAGATATTGCAACACACACATACACATATATACAGACAAAGAGACAGGGGTCTCCCTGTAGTCTCAACCACTTTCATCTGGTCAGAAGAAAGTGTTTGATATTCACATTGCATAATCTCATATCTATTTAGAAGGAAAACTCACCCTCTCTCTAGTCCTCAAGTATCTCTGATTCTTGTCATAGCAGTTGTGATAGACAGAGAGAGAAGAGAAAGCGAGAGCACTTGTTACAGTAATTTGAGGTAAGCTTGGAGCACTTTGGGCTCCAGGAGCAGGTCTCATGAAACAGTATCTCTGTCTCTCACTGATCTTCTGCTATCTTTCTTTCATCTGCCCAAGGCAGGACCCTAATCTATTGTGGGTTGAAAGATCCTTATTGCATACCCTATAACAGGGGTGTCCAATCTTTGTCTTCCCTGGGCCACACTGGAAAAGGAAAAATTGTCTTGGGCCACACATAAAATACACTAACACTAAAGATAGCTGATAAGCTATTTAAAAAAATAAATTGCAAAAAAAAAAAAAAAACCCTCATACGGTTTTGAGAAAGCCTACAAATTTGTGTTGGGCTGCATTCAAAGTCATCCTTGCTGCACGTGGCCTGCAGGCCATGAGTTGGACCATCTTGCCTTCTAGGAAGGAATGCTACATTGAGATACCAAGAAAAGTCTGAACAGACAGGTCTTGCTGGGTTTAGATCATACTCTTTTTGTTCAATCACATTTCTATATAGGTTTTCATCATGCCTGTGTAATGAAGTCTCCATAAAACCCTAAGAGTAGTAGGCTCAGGAAGATTCTGGTAGTTAAACATCTGGAGGTTCATGGAGGGTGGTGCACACAGGCAGGGCTTGGAAGCTTCTTGCACCTTTCCCCATGCCACATCCTATCTTTATCTGTATGCTTGTAATATCCTTTATGATAAACTGGTAAATGTATTTCCCTGAGTTCTGTAAGCTCCTCCAGCACATTAATCAAACCCAAATAAGGGGTCCTGGAAACCCCAACCTAAAGCAGGTTGTACAGATGTTCTAAAGGCCCAAACTTGTAAGTGTTGTTTGGGGTGTGAGGAGAGTTGTGGGTACCAAGACCGCAACATGTGGGATCTGACTCTATCTCCAGGTAGTGTCAAAACTAAGTTGGAAGACACCCTGCTGGTGTCTGCTGCTTGGCATGTAGGGGAAACTCTCACATTTGGTCACAGAAGACTTCTGTGTTGTTTTTCTTCTGTGATGATTGTTACATGGTATGAGAGCAGAGGAAAAACAGTTTGAGTTTTTCCTGAAACAGTAGGTTTTCAGCCTATCTTTAAAAAATTTCACACCAAACCTCTCCCTGGTCCCATCATGCACTTTTAAAGTTATTTTGCCTCATAATAAAAATAATTTGTGAATATGGATTAGATGAAACCTGGATTAGTAAGCCTTTACTCTGGACCCAGATGGCCTGGGTTCAAATCCAAGCCACTGTGAAAATTAAAGATAAAATGCATAGAAGATGGCTTATATCAAACAGCCAGGCATAAACTGACTATTCAGTAAATATGAGGCATGTTACTTGTGTCATGACTCAGGGCCAGCCCCCTAGGCTTACAAGATGTGCAGTCAAACACAGCTCTGTCTTAAAAGCGGTCGATATTTGGTTTAATGTCCTATTGTCACTGTTTGGAATTCGTAACACATTTTGTCTTTGAACTTGAGTTTTATTTGTGACGTTCAATGGAACAATGGAGCAAGCATGTGTGCAGAGGAGATTCTCTCAACATGTGGGATTAACTTCCTTGCTAACTATTTGCATTCAAAATTCACAAGGTATCAAGAGCACAGAATTCCAAAGGACCTAAGTGAACTGGAGTGCAATGAGACTCAAAAGTACAAGGTAAGTGTGTAACATCTATTACTGAGTGGGCCCACACTGTTCCCAAGAGGCCACACTTTCCATTTGAACCACAATTTGCTCTGAATGCAGAATTAAGACATGAGCAGTCTGAGAGTGATGAACAATTGAGGATGCCAGTCATATCTTTCCTTACACAAGTCACTTCCTTGTATTTCAGCTGACAACCTACATTGAAAATAATGCCTTAGTTGGAAAGAGAAAGGTAGGGCAATACATAGAGAGTACTGCTGGAATGTAAGAGTATCAAAAAGTACAAACTATCAACAAACAGCTGAGTTAGTTTTGTGCAGTGTCTCCCTTGTTTTGGTAAGAACAAAATACATATGAATATATGTCCTTGAAATACAAATCGTGCAATACTGGTGATTCCACATACAATTTCAATGTTCTTACATTTGAATTTAAAATTGGCATTGTACAACATAAAGATGAATAGTAACATTCATGCTAATCATTCAAATTCAACGTTTCAAGAATGGCATTAAATAGCAAATAAAAATAACATGGTAAGTCGATCAAGAGACCTGCAATAAAGGAAAAACTTTATGTTACACTAAGTTACGGTCACATTTTTCCTGCTTTTTAAACTGAGACCCTGCAGTTCCATTTTGCATTGAGCCTCAGAGATTACATAGCCAGACCCCCCATCGCTATTATAATCATTATCAACAGGTCTGGGCTGAAGCTTCGTAGTTAAAAATCACTAGGAAAACTAGAAATAATCTTACAATATTACTATTCAGATCAGGAAACCGTACCTTATCTATACGTCAACACAATTCTCACCCTGTAATTTATTGCTAAAACTAAGAATATTTTTTAAATTGCACAAATATTGGATTCTGAGGAATGTCAGATTAATTATTTTATATTTCGTTCACATTCCCCTCATGAAGAAAGTGGCAGCATCGTGTTCCATATCATCCCAGCTAGAATTGGCCTCTCATGTCTCCGAGTGATGCATTTTTCCAGTTGGACTGCCCTTGTGGCAGAGAGCTTGTTCTTCCCTGCATTCTGGTTACTCCTGGTGCCTCAAATTTTTAACATCCTGAGCCTTGGGGCATCCTTGTCGCACCCTTTATGTTGGTCAGACCCTCACACAGTATCATCTAGCTTTTCCCTGGTGACTGAATGAGTGAATAGGCCAAGAAGTTGAGCAGACTATAGATTTTTGTAATAATTACAATGGGAAGGAGGGCATCATATCCTGAGATATTACATTAAGTTCTGGTTTTGACTACATTTATGCTTTCACCAGAAAGAAAGCAGCAATGTGTCAGTTATTATGGAGTGTTTTCTCTATCTCTCAGGAATGGGGCTGTTTGATTCTACTGTTTCAGTTTATTATTGTAAGATAAATAATAGTTCTTCCGATGGAAAAAGAGGAGAGAAACTCTGATACAAGTGAACACAGAGACATTGGACACACTTTCTAAAGGTAAGAACTGCCTAAGTCTGTCTTCAGTGGATGCAGCTTTTGCCCTGTTAAACATCTTCAAATCCAGATTTCATTTATGTAGTCCCACCCTGAGCAGTGGAGACTTTCACCCCATATATTGCACTGCACAATTGACTTGCTGCCTTTTGGGGATGGGGGAAGTTCGCTCTCCTCTGGTGCTTCATGTATCATCTGGTGCCAGAGGCAGTGACGATACAACATTGATGGACCAATGGACTAATCCAATATGGCAAATCCTATATTCCTGTTTGGGTACAAATGAATGACCTCATATACTTCTGCACACATTCAACAAAATGATGAAAGGGAGAAAAAAGCCAAATGGAATTTCCTGATCATTGCATTCCACTTTATTTCTCTGTTTAAACTTTGTAAGTGAATTCAATGTCTGTAGAAGGCAATTGATGGCTCTAACAGAAAAGGAAAGAAAAATGTTAAAGCCCCAAACCACAATTTGAGCACTGTTAGGCTTGGTTCTCGTCCTTTGCTGGGATCCTCAGCAGGACTCTGCACCTTACAGCCTTCAAAGACCATCTCAGCATTTTAGGGACAAGGGTTGTAATTCTGCAGAATAGGGCTACAAACCCTACACCTGCAGCCTTTTATTAGTTGGCAAGAGGGGATGACAGAAAAGTGGAGAGGACTTGACTATGTGTATATGAAGGTAAAGAAGTGCTGTTTCAATTTTGCTTGAAGTTTCTCAAATCTCTCATATAAGGGATCATGCTTCATGCCAATCACTTCAGCTTCTTCACAGCCCACCCCATGCATATTTTCAACTTTAACATTCTACAGTGTTCGACCACTTACTTTCTCTGCCTATCTCATTCCTGTGCTGTATTTATTGGCCCTGCCTCCTGCACAAAGTCTCCCCTAATCAACCAGCCTAGAATATCCTTCTGTCACTGTAAGTTTCTGGAAAAGGTGTTATATATTACCTGTTTGTCATCATGTTTCTCTGTACTTTAATTATGTTTTGCCCAAATATATGTTTCTTCCAATTAAATAAGTTAATTAAAAGAAGGTCTAGAATCTTTATCACCTACAGTTCCTGGCAGTGCCTTTTACATAATAAGTTCATAATTAATATTTGCTAATAAAAATTACTGCTATTCTTTAGCTGAACATATAGAGACCATCTGCTTAAAAAATATGTTTGTGTGCATGTGCCTAAGTAATTTTTCTCCATATATGTATATTTTAAATATTCAATAAAAGGATTTAAAAAACAGTTGATTTTTCTCACTTTGGTATATCTACACTTCCTGAAAATAGGTAAAAGACAGAACCTACATTTCCAAGTGCCAAGGTCCACTATAGACTTATCTTGTCCCAGGAGCAGTCTTTTTTTCTCCCTCTCTTGAGCATCAAGGACCAGGAAGTCTGATTCCAACATGATTATATGTGGATGAAAAAAGGAAGAAGGAGGATAAATCCATCCATTATAATGCAATCAGCTGATTTTAAAAATCAGTGTGTATTAGCCACAGAAGCAAACAAAATGTCCAGGAAAATTGTGCCAAAGGCCCAATGGGTGTAAACAGTTTATGCAATGCAAGGAAGCAATACTGCAGTAAGAGCTAAAAAATAATTGAATGTGAACACTATACATAAATCCAGATGAGATTCGAGCTATGACCTTGAGGTGAAAAGGCTCCTTAAACTGCAACCAAAACTTTCTATTTGGAAGTGATTAAATCTCTGAAAATTCTTCTCTTTCTTTGCATTCATGTTTCACACTTTGTAATGCTCACATAAAAAGGGCACACATACCCACACTTTGGTGTTTACTTTCTTGTTTTTCTTTTCTTCCCAGATACCTGGTATAGGCTTTACTGCAGAACAGTGTGGGTGAGCCCTTTTCACCTTTTGATCATGGTTTATAATTGTCAATGCCAGGTTAGCAAGCTTTCTAATGGAAATTACCAGTGCACAGAAGAATGACAAAGCAGTCTTCTCAGACGGAAGAAGAAGTGTAGTCTCTGGATTCCAAGTCATCTTTTCTAGGGCTCACAAAAATTATGAGGGCAGATTAAATAAACTTTTACATGAAACGTAACAGAATACCCCTCAATTCTGTTGCCATTGCATTGCAAACTAGACAATACCAGCAGAGAACTAAAGTGTTCAAAGAGAGGCTAAGCAAGGTTTTGTCCTGATTTCTTTTCTGTGGCCTCATAGCTAAGTTTGAATCCAACTCTTAAGACAGGGTTGCCAGTGGCATTTACAAATTTGATTCTTCCTTTCTCACCAGACAGGTGTTAGTGATCACAGAGCTCAAACTTATTTCGAATAGTAGCTACCACACATACAGTGGTTTCTGAGTTCAGAGCTTGAAAGGATTAAAACTGGGTTAGGAGGAGGAAGCATATTTTCCCAACGGGCAATATTTATAACAAGAAGAAGGCTTTTTCCCACCCACTCTACAAGAATAACATGGAGGAAAAGTGAATCCAAGCAGTGATTCTCAAAATGGTAAGATGTGGGCAGACTTAAGAAATATACCTTTCTAATTCCCAGGCAATTTATGTGTGTATGCCTAAGTATCCAATTAGCAGGCACAGATGCCATTTTGCATTAAAAATATAAAAGGTTTTACAACTGCAAACCAGCTGTGCCCATAAATTTCACCAATCACTTTGCAAAGGTCTACCAAGAATTTGGACCTGAATATTTTATAACTACTTCCCTCAACATTAAAAGAATCAAAAATTGATCAGCAATTTTTTTTGTCTGTTAAAATATTTTCCTCAAAGAAGAATAGGAAATAACAACATATGTGCAGTGATAAGCCTCACAGAAATCAATGGAAATAGATTGTTTCTGACCCACAAAAAGTCTACGTTGAACAACTGCTCTTTCTAGTGGAATTTTTTTTTTTTTGCAATGACAGGAATATTCTATATATCTCCTTTTCATTACTGTAGCTACTTGACAAATGTGATAATTGAACACTTAAAATGTGGCTAACGCAAGTGTCAGAGTATATTCTTACTTTTATTTAATTTTAACTAGTTTAAATAGTCACATGAGGCTAGTGGCTACCACACTAAGCAGCATATTTCAAATTATTCATGCTGTTACTATATCAATAAACAAATGACAGTCTGAGTCAAATAGAAACCTGCTGATTTCTAGCCATGTGACTCTATACAAGTTAACCTGTATGAGGCCATTTATTTAATAGGGCCAACAATAATGGTTCTTCTCATATTGCTGAATAATTAAAAGCATAATGTATTTAAATTATTGGGCCTCTTGTCTGAAAAAAAGTAGGTTTTTAATCAATGTTTTTTATTTTCCCCTAACTTTTTTATTTTCTCTTTTCTTTCCTTCCTCTTTTAGATAGAGAAGAAACACCAAGAAAAGTAGCAAATATACAGTATCCTCAATATATTGCCCCATATCCAGTAAGGGATATTGCTATACCTGTTACTTCATTGTGTACTTTGTTCTAAATCAAAATTTTACATGAAGGTTCTCACAATCTATCCTAACCCACAGGCAACATTTAGGAAATAATACGACGCAGTCAATGTAAACTGTGCAGGACAGTCGTGGTGGCTCATGCTTGTAATCCCAGCACTTTGGGAGGCCAAGGAGGGTTAATAAGTTGAGATCAGGAGTTTAAGACCAGCCTGGCCAACACAGTGAAACCCCATCTCTACTAAAAATACAAAAATTAGCTGCACGTGGTGGCAGGAATCTGTAATCCCAGCTACTTGGGAGGCTGAGGCAGGAGAATTGCTTGAACCTGGGAGGCGGAGGTTGCAGTAAGCCGAGATTGTGCTATTGCACTCCAGCCTGGGTGACAGAGCAAGACTCTGTCTCAAAAAAATAAATAAATATTAAATAAATAAACTGTATTTATTTCTCTTCTTGTTCTTTAATATTTGCAGTATTAAAATTTGATAAAAAGAAAAATTGTCCAAATACTTCTTGAGAGAAAAATGATTGTCATTGGACCTGGAAGAATAGGTTTAGAAAGTGAAATGTCATAGAGAAGGAAAACAAAATGGGGGAATAATTGCATATAGTTTACATTTTTAGTTTTGATATGCTTAACAAATGTTAGCAAAGCTTAATTGTCAATGTTTAGAAACTTATTTGTTCAAATGAAGGAACTAAGGCCTCTAGGAAGATGTGACTCAAATAGAAAAATGAAAACTCCCAGCTCTCCCATCCTCCTCCTTTCCCAGGCCTTCCTGCTTCACAGCTATTTGGGAAGAAGACATATCCACCAGAGGCTGTTTTATCTTGTTGTTTCTTTATATTCTCCTCACCCCAATGTGTTACTTCTTTTCTTCCCTTTGTTCTGTATTTTATGTTTATTTTCTTTTCAATTATACTCCTTTTTATTTGTTTATTTGCTTGTTTTATTATTATTATTATTATTTTGAGATGGCATTTGGCTCTGTTGTTCAGGCTGCAGCACAGTGACATGATCTTGGCTCACTGCAACCTCCACTTCCCAGGTTCAAGCAATTCTCTGCCTCAGCCTGTGAGTAGCTGAGATTACAGGGGCCTGCCACCACACCCAGCTAATTTTTTTTTTTTTTTAATATTTAGTAGAGACGGAGTTTCACCATATTGTCCAGGCTGGTCTTGAACTCCCGACCTCGTGATCCACCCATCTCGGCATTCCAAAATGCTGGGATAACAGACAAGAGCCACCACGCCCATCCTGACTGTTCCATTTTCTCAATGCATTTTCTCTAGGTATAGTCAACACAACTTAGTGACTTTGTTTAAAATGTTGTGTTTCGTGCTTGACAGGAGTTGGAAGAGAGCTTTAAGTAGTTGATTTGTACATAAAGTTTTCACTTTCTGTTTCAATCCACAGGAAAGGTGATCAAAGAAACTAGCCATGTAACTAAAACCACCAGAAACTCTTGGTCTGTTTGGGGACAAATGGCCATTATGAACATGAGAATACATGTTTTTACTAATGTTGAGAACCTGAATGACTCTAATTTACAATTTTGATTGTGCACCTATTGAAGGAGGAAAGTTATCCCACAGAAGAAATGAAACATGTAGCTAGCATTTTGCAAAAGTATAGGAGAACATACTTTCTTATAAAGAAATTGAGTAGAACATGTACCCACACATAAATGTGGGAGCTTCAAAGAAGTGGATCACAATTTAAAGAATAACTAAGGAATAGCAAGACCCTGACTAGAGACTAGCTTCAAGGTATAGAACAGCATGAGATAAAAATAGGATGAGTAGACATAAAAGAGTCAAAGGTCAATGACAATGGGGTCCTAGATGGCTTAAGGAAAATATTGTTTTTCACCTCCCTCAGATTTATAGTTTCTTCCAAAATTCCTAGTAAAGCACAACTAGCACCCCCGCCCCCGGGAATTCTGCAGTGTCTTTGCATATAGATGTGCACACTTCTTAACACCTAAGACATTCCATTTAGTTGTTAGCTCTTGAGTCCAGCGGTTCTCAATCAATTTTTCAATTATCTTCATAAATTTCAGGTTAAAAAAATTTGAATGGATTAAGATGTTCTCACCTGACTAAGATTGTCAAGATGTTGAGTTTAAGCACAAACCTGGGTGAAGAGCCTCTCTGTAGGACATGTTTGAGATCTGGGTGTTTTTTTTCTGCCTGATTTGTTACTCATTAAACATGGCCTTTAGGAAAATATGGGTGACCCAACAGCAAATTATTGACTCAGATCAAAGGTAAAAGATAAAGAAATAAGGAGGATACCAAGATCCAAAAGAAAATGTTCTTACTGCTCTTCTCTGATATTTGCACATTTATTTAAACCTACTCATAGAATTTGCATATTACTAATTCTGTCCACTTCTCTCATCAGCTTTTGGAAAGACATCATGCAAGCATTATATTCTCCATTTAATAGATGCAGAAACTAACATCCAGCAACTAAGTGGGGTGTTCAAGGTCCCTCAGCATAAGGAAGGCAGAGAGAAAACTAAAACTCTGTTCCCTTTTCATAATGCAGTTTTTTTTTCCCTCTGGTGGTCTCATATTAAATTGTGCAGGTAACATAAAGGAATACAATCCAAATAGACTCCAGGTAGGTGGGAGACCTTCTTACATCAAAGAGTGTCTTTATCTTAGAAGGCAGGCTTTTGTTTTTAAAGCCTGGCATATATTTTTTTTCTTTTCTTTCTTTCTTTTTTTTCTTTTGTTGCAGTCATTAAAATGTGCCACTGGTACCCTGTGTGCTGACTGTTCAGGGGTTTCTAAGGAAGGCATTGTTATTTATTATGTTCAAGAGGGTTTGTGGAGGAATAAATTGCATACACATAGTGTGATGGCAGCTGGCAGTCAACTGCGACTGCTGTTGTGCACTTCACAACATGTTTTATGTGGCTGGGAACATTTACATTAAGGTCAATTAG